TTATACATATATACATGGTACATTGCACATATTTTTATCATACAAAGCGTATCTTTATTTATATAATTTGTGAAAGATTTTACAATAATTTTTGTCACCTCCAATAAATCACTCTACATAATAATACAGTTATGTACAATCTATTCTCCTCTTCACTGTTCGCTAGTCATTGTCTAGTACATTCAGTTCTAATGCAAAGCTCTCAGGACACATACTGGACCTTCTCCTGGACCACTTCACTAAGCATTATTATGAAGATGATGAAGATCTACTCCCACCACTCAAACTCTCCTCCTGTATGGCAAGGAATGAAAGCAGTGACACTTATATCAAGAGAGAGCCATTGTCAGACTTATTGAACTGCTTGCAGCTTTGTACTAAACAGTGAGTGAGGGAGTTTAAGAGCAAGATTATATTTATATTGATTGTTATTATGAAATTACTTTTAGGTCCATTGAATGGGAGGAGAAGGGGGTGGAGCAAGTCAGTCATCTCGAGAGATTAAAGAAAATCTTGCGGTCAATCTCAAGGCGTCTCTCCACGTGTGATCTTGATGATTTTGAACTAGTCAGTGTCACTTTTAAAACGTTTGTTACGTGTGTGCATTAATTAGGATAAATCGGGAGATTACCTAATGACAACAAGTGTTGGCTCCAAGAATCATTTAACAGCTGCTCTGCTACTGGAGATATATGAGGTATATTGATCAATACAGTGTCATGTGTACCCTTTAATTACAATGATATGTACATGTACATGAATAGGTAGCACTGGATTATACTTTCAGTATTGAAGGAATCAGGTAAGTACATGTACATGTGTCTTATGATAAAGGAGGTTCTTTCTCTCCTTCTCAGTGATGCTTCCTGTAACCTGTTGCTCGATTTATTTGTCAAGCACCAGTCGGTCCTTGATGTACTGACAGAGAAAGGAGGTTCCGCTGGTAAGAAGAATCTCATGAGAAGGAGACTGCTATCATCATCAACCACCTTACTGTTCTTAAAATCACTCTTCAGGTTAGGAAAATAGGCCAAAAAATGACAGAATATTATTATTATTACTGTTTATTTAT